ATATTGAGGATTTTCAGGTCTAGGTCCCGGGCTCCTTTTTCTCCTCATTCTTAATACTCACACTAGGTAATTTCATTCACTTCTCTGGGTTCAAATGCTATTTTTGTGCTAAAGTTTCTCATATTTATATATCTGACCCAGATCTTTTTTCTGAGCTCCAGATATTTCTATATGGATGTCAAACAAGTATGTCAAACTTAATGTGTTAAAAAATGAATGGGTGACAAGTTTTTAAATCTATTCGTCTTCTAGTGTTCTCCATTTAGAAAATGGAAGCTTTGTCTACCCAGTTTCTCTTGGCAGAATTTGGGATGCCTTCTTGATACCTCTCCTTTTTGTACCCTACTGCCCCCTGACTCTATCAAAACTATCACTAAGGACTATTGATTCTACTTTAAAAATCAAGCTTATTGGGGGGGGATAAGGACACATTTGTAATATCTTATTCAATAAAGGGAAAATATTTAAAAAGAAAAAAAGAATAGGAGACCCAAAGGTGCAAAAAAAAAAAAAAGAAAAGAAAAGAAAATTTGTTGGCAAAGAGGGCATGTGAGATTAGTAGATTTGTGGGGGTCAAGACAGTCAGGCTGGGTTTTTTTGTTTTTGTTTCATTGTGTCCCCCATCCCAGTTTGAGAGGTAACAGGGACATTGGGAAGAACAGACACTCTAAAATCCAATAAACTACATTTTGAATACAAAAAAAAAATCAATCTTATATCCATTCATTTCTCTCCAACTGCTTACTTCCTCATTAATTCATCACTATCTAGATTTGCCTGGGTGACTTCAGTTGCACCCTTCTTACTTCTCCCAAACCATTCTTTTTCTCTTCCAAATTATATTACATCCACAGTGATCTTAAAGCCAAATAGATCATGCCACTCACCTGATGCCTTTATGAATTCTTATTACCTTCAAATTAAATAAATCCCTGTAAGCCAAGGACCCTGCATGATTTTGCTTCTAACTTTATGTGATTCTATCCTCATATTCTCTGAATATTTACTGAAAATATTTACTGAATATTTTTAGGTTACTGATCTTCTTTGAGTTCCTCTGATGTACCTCTTGATTCTCTACTTCCAAGCCTTGGTATATGTGCTCTTTACCGGAAATACTTCACTCCTGTGCTTACCAAGCCAAATACAACCCATCCTTCTAGTGTCGACTTTATTCACATTTTCAGGTCCTCTTAGTGTGGACATGGATGTGATTCTAACTATCTAGATCTCTAAGTTTGCCATGCAAAGGGACCTTCACTAAGGACATGGGTACATGAGGCCAAGAAGAATCTCGGAGCACTGCTTTATTTTAGCTCATCCCGATCTAGACTTGGAATTGAAGTTGAATAGGACGACGGAGCTCTTCATTTATGGAATACACTCTTTTTTGAATAATTATTAAAGTGCCATACCAGAATATTGTATCCATGACAATCCTAGCTCACTCTGAAAATGTTGAAATCTCACTCAAATTACAACAGCAACAACAAAACCATTTTTTGTGCTTTGATTTATCTGGTGCTTTATATTTAGTTCCTCTTCTCATAGAATTCTTGGAAGATAGTAGTGACACCATTTTAGGGAAGGAGAAACTGAGTCTCAGAAAGTCAAATAATATGCTCCAGATCTCACAGCTCTTTTTTTTTTAAAAGTTTAAATTCAGGTTTATCTGACTCAGAGTTGTGCCCCTTCTACCTCTTGTGAGCCAATAGCCATGAACAGTTGCTTTCCATAGTCTGGAGGGTAATTTGGGCTCTGCCCTGATACTGTTATGAACCCTAAGGCCTCTGAGCAGCTCCAAGGGTTTCTGTAGAGATGAAGGCTGAGGGTGTAGAATAAATTGTTTCTGAAATGCATAACCCCATTGTGCAAGGAGGGTTCTGCATCTAATTCCAACTGAGGACCATAAACGGGGTTTGCCCATGGGAACCGTTGGGGTCCTGCCTAGTTAGCCACAGGAACTCTGGCATTAAGCCAGTTGACAGGCAGTAGAGTTTGGCTGACTAAAGATAGATTATGGGGAAGCAGGCCACTTCTTTTCCCCTCTGGGTTTAAAAATCTGTCATCTCAAAACCCATGTGAAGTTGGACCTGAGGCTTTGATCTGAATTTGAAGAAACACATCTCTGGAAAAATAAGCATGGGCCTGTGAAACCCAGATGAACACCCTTCCAGATGCATAATAAATATTTTCTTCTTTCAAGTTTACTGCAACTGCAAACTCCTCTTTCAAGAGTGACTAGGTGATTCATGCTGACATGGCTGTCAGGGGCCTCAATAATCATAGATATTTAAATGAGAATTTTAAAAGATCATATTTTTTTATTTAAAATGATCTTGATGGGAATTAAACAGCTAAATTCTTTGTTCCTTTCCTGAATTCTGAGGAAGAAGGACTAGCAGGGACAATAAGATGTATACCTTGACCTCTTGATTCTGTCCAATTATTCCTTTTCTCTTAGACATTTTGCTTTGGATCTTTCAATCACCTGCACGTCCATAACAAAGATGTCATTTTTCCACTGAATGCTATTTTGTTAGTTTTTGTCAAAAGGTAAGCTTGAACTCATGTGTGAGAAAATTGATCTGGTTGCTAATGGGATATAGTTGAAATAAGCAGTTTGACTGACTTCTTCACTCCTTTATATTAGCATTGCTACTTTTAGATAAACTATTCCTGAAATGATTAGTGTAGGAGGATGGGTTTAGTCTTGTATCTTCTCCTTTAAAGCACTCAGAGTTAGAGATCCCAGAAGGATCAGTTTTCTCACTTGTACTGAAAATGTCACTCTAACAGCTATCTGTCTGCACAGTCAAGTTTTGAGAAATCTTTTGAATTTACCGCATTCACACCATTCTCCATCATGGTGCTAAAAATGACTAATGTAGCTTGGAGACTGGGAGACTGTGATAGCTGATTATCTTTTCCAATCATGCACTAACACTCACACACTCTCATATGCACACATGCTCAGCTGACATGAATCCGTAAAGGTTTAAAATATCCTGTGTGCTAAATGGAATATGGAGGCATGTGGGGTGCTTGAGCATATTGTAATAGTGTTGGTTTTATTATGGTCAACTCTGTCAAAAAATTGGCCTGGTTGTTTGACTAAACTGATTTTGTTTGTAACCAAATGGGCCACTATAATATATGACTTAATTTTATATTTAAAATAATCTCTGACATTAAAATTTTCAAATGCCTTATTTAATTTTATCTTCTTATCATCTCTGAGAAAAGTGAAGTACAGCATTTCCTTTTTTAAATAAGAGGAAATAAGAGAGATGATGACTTACCCAAAGTCAGGCACAAGGTCAAAGGACCCCTCTCTTTTAAGGGCTCTAATTAGTCACTATAAGTCAGTATAGGGTCACTAGATCCAAATCATGTAAATGCACTTCATTTTCTTTCTTGATAAATGCTAAAGGGACTGTCATAAACAAAGCCATATACTATTCTGAGAAAAACATATGACAATGTGTCTTGTGATGTCATTCAGGGAATGATGGAGCAGTGTGGAGGCTAAATATAGTAATTAAATGAAATGGGAGCTGATTAAATCCCAAGGGGAAGGGTTAGTTGATTGTCATTAACTTGCAGTGAGGTCTTTAGGAATTTTCCACAGGCTCTATTTTTGGTTCTGTCCAATTCAACAATTTATCAATTACCTGGAAGAAGTCTAGTTACTTGTTTCTAAATTGGCACATGATGCAAAGCTAATAAAGAAGTGAAGATTAGTAATTCAATGGATGACAGAATTAAGTTTTTAAAATGTGTCATTTAGGATGATAAGCTGACATTTATTAAGGATAAATATAAATTCATGTGTTTAATTAGAAAAATATTGTGATAAGATGAGTGAAACTGAATGGGGAGAAGCTGCTAAAAATAGAAAATACTTCAGGTTTTAATTGACCATAAGCATGATGCACTACTGAAAAAGTCAACACAATCCCTGTTGGAATTCAGAGAGAGAGAGAAGGGAAGAGAGAGAGAAAGAGAGAGAGAGAGAGAGAGAGAGAGAGAGAGAGAGAAGGTTAGTCAGTGTGACATATCTATCATCTTAAGTATTGTGTTTGATTCTGGAAACCATATTTTAAGAAAGATACTAACAAATTGTTGCTTGTTTAATCGACGGAGGGGTTTTTATAGTGAAAAATCAGGTAATCAAGCAATGTGAGAAAACTGGGGTAGTTCATCTATAAAATAGAAGAGGATCATAACAGCTGTTTATTGAGCATTTATCATATGTATTAATTACTTAATCCTCAGAAAAACATGATGAATTATTTATTGTCATTATTGGCATGGAAACTGAGAAGGACACATAGCTAAATTATCTGGATTCAACTCCAGAAGCTACTTTCTTAACCCTGTTCCACATTATTTCTCTGAATGTTAATCAAATGCTTGAAGAGTTGCTATGTGGACAGAAAATTAGACTTTTTTCTGTGGGACATAATTCTCAACAGATAGGCAGACTCAGTTTGGTTGCTTTTCTGACCAAAGTCTTTATGGGGAAAATTTTCCAAGATCATTGGTTAATCAATGCACAATTTCTCTTTGGTTGCATAGACATGATTTCTGGTGAATTACAAGGCAAAAAGGATCATCCAGATAACCCTATTTACACAGGATTTACCTTTTCTGAAGATTATCTATGGGAGCTATGATGCATTATTAAATTTGGCCTCATTGAAATACCTAATAAGAATATAATGACCAGTTTGTTTTAAAATATACTAAAGAAAGACAGCAGGCGGGATCTCATGAGAAGTTACATTCTGTAATTACCTCTTCATATAAAAAAAAGGACAGTTCTCAGAAATTAATGAATACAGCAAGAGTTCTTTCCTATTTTAATTGCAAAAGTGGAGCAATTAAAGAATTAAAGAAACTACACTGGCAAAACCCCTGTTCTTAAGGTTTTTGTCTCCTAATTTTCTAGTCATCAAATCAATGTAGATATAAACATACCATAGACCTATTTTTACCTTCTGAGATGAGATATACCAACTCCACCAGCAGTGCCCCCGTGAAACAACCAAATCCATTGAACAGGGTCGAAAAATTCATCAAGGTTCCTCTGATGGTACTTGGAACAAATCTGTATGATATTATAGAGACTAAGAGAAAAAACAGGTCAGAATTAGAATAATCTCTCTAACATACTTTCATAGATACTGTTGAAATTAGTGTTGATTATATCTCAAAGAAAGGTTACTGATGGGATTAAAATTACTACAGTAAGATATATTATGATCTTAAAATTCTTAGATGTCTATAAGGAATAAAATATGGCAAAATATGTCCTTGTACAGCTGCAAGAAAAATTTGATCAATTAGTGGTTGGGTGTCCAAATATACTACACAGCCATAAAAAAGCATGAAAATTTACCTTGTGTTACAACCTGCATGGCCTTGAGGGTATTATGCTAAGTGAAATAAGTGAGATGGAGAAAGACTAATACCCTATGATTTCATTTAAATGTGTAATCTAAAAAAAAAAACCAACAAAACAAAACTCATAGATACAGAGAATAGAATGGTGGTTGCCAGAGGGGAGAGGTGTCAGGTGACAGGTAAAATTGGTGAAGGGTATGAAGAGGTACAAACTTTCAGTTATATAATAAGTAGCTGATGGGGATGTAATGTACAGCATGATGATTATAGTCAGTAATTTTATAGTGCATGTTTGAAAGTTGCTAAGACAGTAAATCTTATAAGTTCTCATCATGCACACATATAAATAAACCCATCAAAATTCATAATTTTTCATGGTGACCTATGGTAACTAGACTTCTTGTGGTGATCATTTTGCAGTGTATTCAAATATCTAATCACCAGAGGCCCGGTGCATGAAAATTCATGCACTGGAGGGGGGTCCCTCAGCCGGGCCTCCTCTCACAGTCTGGGAGCCCTCAGGGGCAGGAGGCAACCAGGCGATCAGGGGAAGGCAATGCCCCCATCACACCTCTGCTGCTGCCACTGCCAGCAGCGCAAGCCTTGGCCGGCCCTGGTTACCGGAGCCTTGGGTGGTCCTGGGCAGCTGGGCAACGGACATCCGAGGCTTGTCTGTGCCTTGGGCTGGCCCTGGGCGTCTGGGAAGCTGCCATCTGAGGCTTGCCTGCGCCTTGAGCTGGCCCTGGGCGGCTGGGCAGCTGACATCTGAGGTTTGCCTGCGCCTTGAGCTGGCCCTGGGCAGCTGGGGGGCTGAGGGAACTGGGGGACACCACCATCTTGTGGCTGTTAGTTCTGCCATCTTTGAGTGCATGGCAGTCAATAAGCATATTCCCTCCTTATTGGCTGTGGGTGCCACCATCGCAAAGATTAGCATATTTCCTCTTTATTAAATAGGATTAGGTCATGCACCTGAAACTAATATAATGTTATATATCAATTATACCTCAATAAAAAAGAAAAAGTTAAAATAATTTTTGTTATTATAAATAGATGAAAATAAGTATGTATAATTTTGAACATACCATATTAACATAACTACTAAAATATGTATGACAATCTAAGGCATATATGCTGAAATATGTATGATATATATTATATCTGGGATGTAATTCAACATTATACAACAAGAAGGAACTTAGTATGCAAATGAGGGTAGAGATAAAACAAGTTTGGCTATGAGTTGAAAATTGTTGAAGCTGGAACATGGGTACAGAGGAATTTATTACACTAATCTCTCTCTTTGTACATGCAGGGCAAAAAAATTGTAAGAAAATAGATTGAATAACAGGAATAGTTTTAGCTTTGAGTGGTTGAATTATTGGATTTTTACTTTGTCTTCTCCTTGCTTTTTTGTACTTGGCAAATTTTATTACAATGAGAAGTCATAAGTAAACATTAAAGCTCATTTAAAAAAGAAAAGTGGCGCCCTAGCTTGTTTGGTTCAGTGGATAGAGCGTCGGCCTGCAAACTGAAGGTTTGATTCTGGTCAAGGGCACATGCCCAGGGTTGTGGGCTCGATCCCCAGTAGGCGGCGTGTAGGAGGCAGCCAATCAATGATTCTCTCTCATCATTGATGTTTCTCTCTCTCTCCTTCCTCTCTAAAATCAATACAAAATATATTTATATTTAAAAGAAAAGTGGTGATAAATCAACATATTGTGAACATTAAACGTTTAGTTTCCTTCTCTATAAAAAGAAAAGTAACTTTTTTCTCTGGAAAATTTCACTCCTGGTTTAGCAGCTGCTCTTTACCCCAGTAAATTACTTGTCCAGCTCTTTTACTTTTTTCATTATTTTTAAAAAAGTATATTTTTATTGATTTCAGAGTGGAAGGGAGAAGGAGGGAGAGAGATCAAAACATCAGTGATGAGAGAGAATCATTGATTGGCTGTCTCCTGCATGCCCCACACTGGGGATAGAGCCCACAACCCAGGCATGTGCTTTGACCAGGAATTGAACCGTGACCTCCTGGTTCATAGGTCGAACTCAACCACTGAGCCATACCGGCTGGGCTATCCAGCTCTTTTAAACCAACTTACTAATCCTATATAATACAAGGGTAATATGCAAATTGACCCTAATGGTGGACCAACTGGGCATGACTGGTTGCTATGACACACGCACTGACCACCAGGAGGCAGATGCTCAATGCAGGAGCTGCCCCCTAGTGGTCAGTGTGCTCCCACAGGGGGAGCTCCACTCAGTCACAAGCCAGTCTGATAGTTGTGAGCACAGTGGCGGTAGCAGGAGCCTCTCCTGCCTCCTTGGCAGCGCTAAGGATGTCCAATTGATGGCTTAGGTCCGCTCCCTAGAGGGAGCTGGCCTAAGTTGCCAGTCAGGCATGTCCCGAGGGCACCTGGGCTGCCAGAGTGATGTCTGACTGCCAGCTCAGGCCCGATCCTCTGGCAGCAGGCCTAAGCTGGCAGGTGGACATCCCCCGAGGGGTCCTGGACTATGAGAGGGCACAGGCTGGGCTGAGGGACCCCCCAGTGCATGAATTTTCATGGACCGGGCCTCTAGTACATAATATAAATGTACTAATGTTCCTTTCTGCATTCAGTTAGCATTTCTCTTTTGCTTTCTGCATGTCCTCCACATGTTTTCATTTATCATCCAATAAACATTGAAAGACATCCCTATCTGTGCCCTAGGAAATGTGCTGAGTGCTGTGGTTGAGGGTGAGAAAAGGCATGGGTATTTTTTCCCTGGGTTTTAAACTCTGAGAGGGCAGAGAGCAGAGATATGCACAATACTAAGGGCAGTGCTAAACAGGCACTTAATAGCACACATACTTATTGGAGATGAAGATGATGATAGTGATAAAGAGAATACTGTGGAGAAGGACGTCAATATTGGTGGCAAGGGGCCGTGGGTACCCCAGCTTTCCTGTGCAGTGCAAATCACCATCAGGAGCCTGAGGACAAGCTGCAAGTTTTTTTCAGGAAGATCTGAAGGATAGTGAGAGAAATGTTGAAGAGGCATTGGGAAGAAAGGACTCACAGTTATAAAAAGGATTTGTCTTATGAACTTTCCTCTCTATAAATATGAAGAGACAAACAATGGGCGGAAAGACTAAGTTGGGTGATTTCTTTCACTGAGAAAAAGCAGAACTTACAAGCCCATTATTACTCTGCTAGTTAATTATTAATCCTATGCTTTTCTCTTGCTAGAACTTCTGGTGCGGTATATAATTCATGAACACACTTTGCCAGCCTCTGCCTGCTGGTTAATCTCTCTTTGGTGTCATTATAGCCATTTTGAAAGCCTCCAGTTCGCTTTTATGGGACTTAGCTTTTCAAGTCCTCGGGTCTCTATATTCAGGCATCTTCATGTTCTGATCTTTTTCAACTTTAGTAATCATCAACTTGGGCTTCATGGTATTCCTTTTAGTACACTATGCTATGGATATTATCAACAAGTCTGTCACTGCTCTCAAATTATCATTTACTATGAAGACACAGTAAAAACTATTCAAAGTGTATGTAAAAGCTGGTCTTCTTGCCAATGAGAGCTGAAATGTGCCTCCAGGTGGAGACTGGTTAGTGTTTGTAAAAATGTTCCATCACAGAGCATGCAGAATCTACAAATTATGGGCCATCACCACCTTCCTGAGGCACCCGGTACTGGGGACTCATTGCTAGAAATTACTTTTACTCCAATTGTTTTTAAACAGTTAAAATGTGTTTATTGTGTTTGGTAAGAAGTTATTTTGACCATATGGAGAACTACCAATGTCTAGAAAATTGAACTTTATCTGATTACCACTTTCAGGTCATTATTGCTTTCTCATATCTAAAAAGCTTCAGATTTGAATCTCATATTATCCGATTATGTGACCTAATACTTCTCTTTTGTGCTATCATCTGCCAATTTTTAGGCCATTTCCCTCTATTATTTATTTGTCAGCTCCTTTCTTATCATCACACCCTCCAGTTCTAATCCTGCCTTAACTCTTGGCAGTTTGGACATACATATAGATTATCCTTTCAACCTTCCATTCTGCCAAATGTTGGTTTCTCATCCCTTGTCCTTCTTCCTTTTCAATATCATTGTCCTCCACTCTACTTTAGCCATTCACTGAATCTTGTACCCCCGACTAGGGTTGGTGAACTATGGTCAGGTAAGGTCCAACTTGACACCTATCTATACCAATAAAAGCCTATGTGGTTGTCACACCATCACACCGTCACACCGTGATGCTGTCATGCCGTAACAACCCATCACTAGGAGACTGCGTGCACAGTGTGCGCATGTGCGGTTGAGCGGGGCTGCGTGAGCTGTGTGGTGCACGCGGATGGGCGGGGACTTGACCAGGAGGTGCATCGGGAGAGCGGATGGCGGCTGCTGCTTCACAGGGCTGGCCCGAGGCTCAGGCAAGCCACCAATGGCAGCTGCCACTGCCCAGGGCTGGCCCGAGGCTCAGGCAAGCTGCAGATGATGGCTGCTGCTGCGAGGGCCCAAGGCTCAGGCAATGAGAGTCAGGGCAAGGCTTGCGCAAGTCACAGTGGCTGCGAGGGCCAAGGCTCAGGCAGCCTTGCAGCCAGCAGTGGCAACAGCAGAGATGTGATGGGGGCGTTACCTTCCCCTGATTGCTGGCTTGCCTCCCACAGAGGGAGGCCAGAGGCAGCAGCAGCGAGGGGGTGATGGGGTGGTGCCTTCCCCTGATCGGCTGGTTTTCTCCTGCAGAGGGATGCCAGACTGTGGCTTAGGACATCACCTGAGGACTCCCAAACTGTGAGAGGGGGCAGGCTGGGCGGAGAGACCCCCCTTTCCCCAGTGCATGAATTTTCATGCACCGGGCCTCTAGTCCTATATAATAAAAGGCTAATATGCAAATCAAACAAACGGTGAAACGACTGGTCACTATGATGCATACTGACCACTGGGGGGCAGATGCTTAATGCAGGAGCTGACCCCTGGTGGTCAGTGCACTCCCACAGGGGGAGCACTGTTCAGCCAAGGGCCGGACTCACAGCTGGTGGGTGGTAATGAGCGAGGGGTCCCGGACTGTGAGAGCCCAGACTGCGAGAGGGATGTCTGACTGCCAGCTTAGGCCTGATCCCAGAGCTTAAATGATAATAATAATAACAGCACTTGTTATAGCTGCTAATTATTGAATGCCATCTAGAAACCAGACACACTGCTTTTTCCTTTACATAAAATATTTCATTTAGTCCTTACAACAACATTCCCCATTTTACAGATGATGAGAAAGACTCAGAAATACAGAATAATTTTGTCAAGGTCACACAACTACTCAGTGGCAAAACTGGGTTTTAATTCAGATCTGTCTTTAAGACCATGGATATTAACCTTTACATTGTACTGCAAGAGTAATTCTTGATTTTACATTTTGAAACACCTTTCTACACTATGGAATTTAACTCTCAAGGAGTAGTTTACATTTCCATTGATTGTTATACTGATGCTTTGATATAAAGAATTATAATTATTTTCATTTTAAAGATCAGAAAGGTGAAACTTAAAGGTTAAATTAACTTTCAAGGTCACACTTGTAGTAAATGACAAAACTGGAAGTCCAAATAAAGTCTTTTAAAACAAATCCTATATAATAAAGAGGTAATATGCAAATTTACCATCACACCCTCACACAAGATGGCCGCCCCCATGTGGTCAAAAGATGGCCACCACAAGATGGCTGGCAGGGGAGGGTAGTTGTGGGCGATCAGGCCTGCAGGGAAAGGCAGTTAGGGGTGACCAGTCAGGCAGGGGAGGGCAGTTGGGGGCGACCGGGCTGGCAGGGGAGGGCAGTTGGGGGCAATTGGGCTGGCAGGGGAGCAGTTAGGCATCAATCAGGCTGGCAGGGGAGTGGTTAGGGGGTGATCAGCCTGGCAGGCAGAAGCGGTTAGGGGCAATCAGGCAGGCAAGCGAGCGGTTGGGAGCCAGCAGTCCTGAATTGTGAGAGGGATCGGGCCTAAACCAGCAGTTGAACATCCCCCGAGGGGTCCCAGATTGGAGAGGGTGCAGGCTGGGCTGAGGAGACCTCTCCCCATTCACGAATTTTGTGCACTGGACCTCTAGTACATATATGTTTATTTAATTCAGAGAGGAAGGGAGAGGGATAGAGAGATAGAAATCAATGATGAGAGAGAATCATTGATTGGCTGCCTCCTTCATGCTCCCACTGGGGATTGAGCCTGCAACCTGGTGTCCTGACCCAGAATTGAACTTTGACCTCCTGCTCATAGGTGAGTGCTCAACTGTTGAGCCACACCGGCCAGGTCAAACAAAGTCTTGTGGTCCCTACCCCATGACCTCTATAGTGGATAAGTCAATTGAATTAGTTGGACTTTAGTTTCCTGACAGGTAAATCAGGGAGGGTGAACTAAGTGATTTATATCACATAACCTGCCTTTTGTGTTTTGAATGGGTATTTCTGCATTATAGGGAAATTTCCTGAGTGTATTCACTCATCACTTTTATTCATTACCTTTCTTCCTATCTAGACTGCAAAATTTAGGCTGACTAGTTCCAACAGTTTTCTGGAAACAACATCAGGGAAGTCACAAACACTTGTGTGGTGGCTTCTTTTATACCTTTTTTTTGTATTCCTCATAATGTCCAATGATATCGACATCTTAGAATCTCATAAAATAATTTATTCATGCAAAATATATGCAATGAGATGATTTAAAATTATATAAGTCTCACACAAAAATATGACTGTAATTATACAAACTTGATTTTATTTTGACTTTTTGCAATGAATTGCTTTGATTATATCTACACTAATAAAAGAGAAATATGCAAATTGGTGTCACTCTGCTACCCTTCCCATTGGCTAATCAGCATATCCTTATGCAAATTAACTGTCAGCCAAGATGGCGGCCGGCAGCCA